CATATGGGCAGTCTTTCTCCAAGCTTGATCACAGCAACCAAGAATGTTTGGTGTACTTTCCAGTGAGAAATGGATGCTATTGAATTGTGTGAAGTTTATTCAGTAACAAAGTTGTTTTGCATTCTCTGACAGGCACACTACTATGGACCCAATGAACCCTTTCGATGATATTTTTTACAGTTCTCATTTGAATAATTTGTGTGCCACCTTGCAGATCTTGTAGAGTGAATCTTGTCCATCTCCACCAGTGTCCTTGAAGTAGTCATGAGCTGGAAATGTCCTGTTGATGTCTCTGGTGATGGCACTGTCCTGAGGAGACTCCTGTCAACAAGACAATTTGATATTTGTAATAGTGGTCCACTTTAATACAAGTGAAAACTGTTTAACAAGGGAGTAAATTGTGGCCTCACTACAAAACCACCACCTCCATGAGATCCCCACAGTGGTCAACTGAATTTAGCATCTTGTGGTTCAGCACAAGCTCTATCACAAAGAGCGCATGACTAACTGGCACAGAGTGTCCTCTCCCATAGAACAGAGCGTTCATTACAAAGGTTTTTGGCGAGTCTACCCTGAGCTTCTGGGATCCTAAAAGCGCTGCTTTCGTTCAATTTGTTAGACCTGAAAACTGTTGAGAAAATGCGCATGTGCCCATCTGCTTGCAGAAACATAGCATGATGTAGTCACATCAAAAATGAAAAAATACTCGAAAACCTATGTTATTTAAATATTAAGCAAAATGCGGTAATAGTCCTGTGACAGTGACTCAGTGATCAAACGACCCATCGGTTGGCAGTTTGAACCCTGCTCATGCAGTTGTTGTGTCTGAAGGCATGTATGGACTCCATGGAACTGTGGTGCACTTCTTTTGTTTTATTATTATTGACCTTATTTTTAATGCATGCCCTCATTATTATTTTATCATACTGCCGAAAAAAGATCACTGTCACTGACAATGACAAGAAAATTTTCTGACTCTGAACACATTTTGCCTAGTATGAGTGGGTGTGTTGTGCTCACACTGGCAGCCTTGCTTCTGTCAGTCTGCTCCAGAGCAGCTGTTGCTACAAAAGTACCTTATCAACACATAGCATAAAGTGAATTAACCACTCTAGTGAAGCACATTAAGAGGCTTTGTTGAGCCTGTTATGAGCAATACGAGTGTGCATTTCAATTATTACTTTTTTGTAGCAAAAACTTGCTAAAATCCAACCTTTAGTAAAATAATTTAAAGACACTGCAAAAAGGTAAATTTACTTACTAGAGAATACTATTTTTGAAGAAAATTATCATTATGATACCCCTATACCTTTAGGTTAAAGTGTAATATGCTGAACTGAAGCTAACTGATGATTGTAATGTTGTCTACTGCCATGTGAAGCTTTAAAAAAAAAAAAATTAAATCTATAAATGGTGCTATGAATATCAGTTGTGTTTCAGGCATAAGGTCCCCTTTGCTACTTTTCCCAAGGCTTGCAGTCATGCAAGACTTCCACAGCGGAAGTGAGTAAAACAAAACATAATGAGTATAAGAAGAGATGCAGGAAGAAAGGAGTTTTGAAACAAAGTGAGTTAATGGCACTCAGTCACCAGTGGCAGCAAGCTTATTTTTAAATCCTGACAAACATCTATTGAAATTCTCTCACCACACCCTGGAGCCCATAGTTACTGGCAGTTTGCAATGGAAGAATGTTCGTTTCAGCATACAAAAATAAATACATACATAAATACATTTTATTAACTTAGTAAATGCTCTTCTTGTCAGGTTATACAATTATGGCCAATTTGAAAGCAGTGCAATGTAATAAACAGCAAAAATTGTAGATATTAAATTATGTCTATGACTACCAATACAGCTACCACTACTAATACTATAGCTATTACAACAACCCATACCGTAAGACTATCTATCATCTTACCATTATTAATGCCAAAAAAGATTTTACTTCAGTAAAAATATTCTATACTGCTTTGTATAGAAATATCCAAGCAAATATTTTCATCTAAATACTTTTTAAAAATAAAGACTAAAATAATAATAATACACCACAAGACTAAAAAGTCATCCATCCTTAAATCTAGCCAAGGAAGAGTCTAAGGCAGGCATGTCCAAACTTTGGTCCGTGGGCCAAATGCGGCCCTGAGACCAATTTTTCTTGGCCCTCAGGCTTCCAGATGAATTGGCCCAAATTACCGTGCCAATAAAAAATGTACTTTCTACTGCAAGTTTTTTGAAAATCTACATTGATAAAGCTAAGATTTAACATTTAGTGTGTGGTTTAAAGGATCTTAGCATGAATAAAGATTGATGGCTCATTCTAACATGTTAAAAAATGCACATATTTCAAATATTCACTGTGTTGAGCACCAGTCTATGGCCCTTGATCAGCCCTCTGCTTCATCTGTGTTTAGATATGTGGCCCTTGATGAAAAAAGTCTGGACACTCCTGGTCTAAGGTAAAAGAGATGCTCCTTGCTTGAGATCCAGAATACACACTTCTCCAATAGTTTACAAGGCTCAAGGCAAGACAGAGGGAGTGGTGACCAGATTGATATACTTGAAATATTGATAGTCTACACCTTCAAACCAAATGGTAGGTAGTTCAAATTACACCTAAGCAAAAGACTTGTCACCTAAAATGCTCCTCAAACAACAATGCAGCAATGCAGACTTTGTCCAAAGATAATCCCTGCCAAAAGTGAATGAGCTGAAAGAAGAGTTTTTAAGTACTACAGTTTGTAACTGCAACAATATGGGGCTAGAGCCTATGATAATGTTTGTCCAAGCACCACTTTGTCATGCTTATCTGAAGTGCTAAGAGACATTCCACATAATGGCCAGTTAGTTTCCCTTTTCTGTCTGTCTATTTGTTAAAGAAGTAACTGAATGAGTGTACTCTACACTCATTCAGTGTACATTATAAAAACACATTCAACTTATTGTAGTAATCCAAAGCCAGAAACTAGATGAGGAACTTTACATCCAATTTCTTACAATCCTGTTTGGCTTTAAGTAATCAGCAGGAAACCATCTTGTAAATCGGACTGAACTAAACAGAAAAAATACAAATTACTATTTTTTCTTATTAAAACAAAAAAAATGAAATTAATATATCATGAACATAAACAAGGTAGATTTTTAATTAAAGCTCATGTTACGAGAATACAAGAGGAGATGCATTTGAGAGCTGTGCTGTACAAATAATATAAGCATCTGTGATTGGAATGTGAGTGAACCCTTGTCCTTATAGGCAATAGTCAAGGTTCTGCATATGGATAATACAGGGCTTCCGTTGGAGGGCTAAGTAACCAGTTTCCATTGTTTATGGTCCTGGACATAATAGCTGACATGTCATTCTGTATTTTTTTGTGCACTCCAAGCATATCCTGCTCAGATGCCAAAATAACACGAGGCCATTTCTATCAAAACTCTATTGAAAACACACCTGTGATATAGAAATAACCTGCAAACCAAACCTTGTTCTGTTACAACCAATGCATGGAAAAGTGTGAGGATTTTTCAATATATTTGTATAAGATTTATTTTCTCAGAAGACATTACACAACATGACGTACGCCACTTATACCACTTGTCAAGGCATGGCAGGATAATGTCTAAGTGGTCACAGAAAATCATGGTACATTTTTGTATATTTTACAAGATTTACCCAATAAAAGCATACAAGCCCATGAATAATTCTACCTATGACACAAACAAACGCAGCAAAGTCCCAGAAACTCAGAGCCATGTTTTGTAACAGTAGCCAGTCTTATCTTAATTTGATAAAACCACTCCTTAGGTCATGAGCTGCCTATTAGACTAGGTCTGTGGTGTCTTATTTATGGATCCTAAAAATCCTGTAAGAAAAAAAACAGATAAGAGAAATAAAGCCCAGTACAGTGCACACAGAGGAGCTTTTCAGACTTCACCAAACCAAGAGGTCATTACAGTAGTTTCAGTTAGTTTGGTAAGGTCCACCAAGAAAATAAATAAAAATGTAGTGCTCATTTTATTTGGAATATTATTATTTATAAAGCTGTTATGTTATTGGACAGCTTCAAAAATAAAGTGACTACTTTAAAAAGGTACCACATATAAGCTTTTCATTTTACATACCAGGAATATCTTAACTATTGAATGTATTGTAAAATAACTGTATAACTGTCAGCTGTGATCCTAGATATGAGGAAGACATGTTTTACTCTATAGTAACAAAAACCTCAGACATGATGTTCTCTGTGTTTTTGGTTCTCAGGATGATTAAACAATCAGAAATCAAAATGAGTCTCAGATGAGTCTCCCATTTGGGTTGCCAGTTACAATGTCTAAATCCAGTTGGTTTAAAACTAAAAAGGACTCTCTCTAATCCAAATGGTCACTACCTAACCCCAAGTACCTTCAGCCAATCCTTAATCCATGCTAGTGCAGCCTCTGCAGCTCAGTGAGCAAATTCTAAAGGTTCTGATCTTTCACAGGCATGGCCTGTCCATATCCTGAGAAAAATTTGTATGTGTCCTCTATGCAGTTTAAGGCATTCACAATCAATGTCCAGTTGTGATTAGTTAATAGTTCCTTTAAAAACAAAAAAACAAAGCAAAAAAACAGAACATTGGCCAATTACAGTTCCTTAAAAAATCGTATTATTTATTTTAAAAGGCTTAAGTTTTTTGTATGCTTGTTCATGCTCGTTCTTCTTGCCATGGATTCTACCTGGACGACTGAGGGATTCTTCACACATGCTTCTTCATGTTTAAAAATAAAACTAAAAGGTCTTTTGAGAGTTAAATTACATCTAACTTAAAGTGCAGGCAATATGTTTATTGAATAAAGCTTATCTGTACAAGGTTTTTGTAAAGGCATGCTGCTAATTCCATCTGTTGAAGAAAAACACCATACTGTTTATTAAATGACACAATACAAGTTCAGATCAACCAACTTTCAACAAAAATACTTTTGTCTTTTGTAAGTATGCAGAAAATAGTTCAAACATTTGGCCCTGCTTCACATGTAAATCTAACACTGTGTGTATATAGAAAGTCCATACAACAAGAACACCTGCAATGTTACCAAAATATTTTAACCTCACATCCTACAAACAACAACAAACAAACAAAACAGCAATAACAACAACAACAAAAACATAAATTACTTTGAGCTGTATTTATAATTGTTCCATTTACTTTACAATAAAACTGCACTGAATATCATGTGACTCAGAATATGGTGAGTCTATCTTAGCCCACGTACAGTACGTATATTACAGTTAGAGCCCGACCGATATATCGGTTGGCCGATATGAGCAACTGGAAGCATCGGCCGATATGCTTGCTGATAGGGGCCGATATTTCACGTGGGCATGTTATACCTCGTTATAAAGTTTAGACTCTCTACATTATGTTCATTTAATCCAATTTACAGACAGATAAATGTTCTAATATGTGGCTCCGCGTCAGTATTTATCTGCGGAGTCATTTGTCAGTGTGTGTGTCCGTACTGTCCCTGAACACACCCCCAGAGTCACGTGCATTTGTTTACACCCGCAGACAGATCCATGTGCGCAACACTGAGATTATATTCTTTTTACGGACAATCGGTTTGAGTCTGGATTAAAAGGACATTTATTAGTGTAGACTTGTGATGTGAGGAGGAGCCTGTGTGAGCGGTGAGTGTTGGAAATGCATCGACTTTGAAGCTAGTTTTGGTTCGTTCTGATAGGTAAGCGAATAGCTGCTGTCGCTCTCACACATAAACAGGCTGTTTTCTTTTGGCCTATTGTAAAGGCCGTATTGGCCGTATATTGATAGTGGACATGCATTGATATGTAAATGAGCTGTGAATAGAGGTGTGAATGATGAAATTTGCGCTTATAATTAATTACCGCGGCACGCAGCATTTACAGCTAAAGGCTAATAGCGATTGTTTATTTACTAGCTAGGCTAGTAGTGATGAGTCGGTCGCGAACGAAGCGGCTCTTAGAGCCGGCTCTTTGAAGCGAACGACGGGAGCCTGATCCTTATTGGGATTGGAAGTCATGTTTTCTCTTTCTCTCATTTTTTTTCTCTTCACGCCGCGTGCAGACTCGTGGTAGTTTGACAGCCGCTAAAAACGAAACTTTCAAAAATATGCGTGTGCATAGGATAGAAAAAACGTGCATAAAATAAATAAACCAGGACTAATCTTGGGGTCGAGAGAGGGAGAGAGATAGAGACCGAGTATGGTTCAGTTCTTGTTTAGTCCTGCTTTAGACCTGCTTTAGTCCTATGACATATCATGTAAAGAGGCAAAATAACAATAAATGTTGCCTAAATAAACCCAGTTTAAAAACCACCAGAGCCAAACCTAAGTTTTTTTTTTAATAATTCAAGACTTACAGTGAATTTATCCATCACTAAATATATCGGCGATTATATTGGCAGCCCCAACTCTCATTATATCGGTATCATATCGGCAACAACAAAATCCATATCGGTCAGGCTCTAATTACAGTATTAAAATAAGCCGCAACAATGTAACAGACATTCAGTAATATTTGAGTAGATCCCGTTGTCTTAGTGATGGTAAGAAAAGTGCCTCATATGGAGCCAAGATGAGTGCACTGATGCATCATGCTCAGGAAACAGAGGTCAAGCTGCTGGTGCACACAGGGGGTTATGGGGAAAAAGAGCGTCTTGTCTGCTTTGTGCACATGTGCTTTATATGTGTTCAAGTTTGTTTGCACATGTGCACACAGACCCTGCCCTCAGTCACTACAGACAACACTCTCCATTTAGACACAGTTCAAATCCCAAATCAGATTGTGCTTGGGTTCTTTCAGAATGTTTTAAATAACATTTTGAACAATGAAATTAGCACAATTTTTGACTTAGACTTGACAGTGTAAATGTACATTTTCAATTGATATTGTTTTTTATGGTCCCCAAAAATATATACAATATTTAAATAACATCCACTGTCCCAACACTGAACAGTTCTGGGGAAGTATCTCACCGTTGGTAGGTGTGATAGATAACTAATCATGTTTATTGAGAAGATACAGTATCTTCAAGGTTCCTTGTAGCCACCACCATCAGGGTTTGTTGGCCTTTCATCCCAAACCTGACCTGAGCATTTAGGCAGGTTCCTTCCTTTGCTTTTGCTCCAGAATCTTATAGACTGAGTATCAGTGTATCGTAAAAGTTTATAATTACACCTGGCATGTTGCACCTATCCCTGTTTCCCCAAGGTCATATCCATACCCAGCAACAGCACATCCTTTTTCAATAGAGCCAACAAAAGTCTTTTTGGTGTGTCGGACTCCAAAACCAGTGATGCTACGCTGTAAAGATAAGGAGCAGAGGCGCTTGAGGCCTTTTCTGAAAACTGAATTAGACAAGCTATAGATAAGACAGTTACAGAAACTGTTGCTAATAGCAAGCCATGTGGTAAGAAATGATGCTGCTGGATGGTGATAGATTCCTGCACTTTCCAATAGGAAGTAGAGGATATATGGCAGCCACAGGATATAGAACACACTGGTAATGCGAAACAGCACCATGGCATAGCGTCTGTCAGGGTAATTTGCTGGCTGCTGATGCTGATGAGGGACGAGGGCATGGGACAGATGAGCAGAGTGCTTTGTAGAGCTGTCTTTGCATGTAGAGCCAATGGCAAGCCCCCGGTACCGAGCATGGCGCTCACAGATCTCTCGTGTGTGCTGCCGGCAGATTTTGAAGATGTTGGCATAGGTAAAACAAACTGTAAGCGCAGCAGGGGCATAAAGAAGACCTACAATAAAAGAGGTAAAAGCTGGACTAGTCTTCCATTCCACTGCGCACCATTCTACAACATCACCATGGTAGCCTGGTTTACCCCATCCCAAGAACGATGGCAAAAAGATTAGAGCAGAGTAGAGCCATATTAAAATGATGCAGCAGCGCATGCGACATGGTGACACTAAGGATGCATAGGTTAAAGGTCGTGTGATAGCAATATAGCGATCAACACTAACACATGCCAATGACGCCATGGAAACGGACTTCAGAACTGACACCAGGTACCCAAACACTTGACAGGTGAGCTTGGGGTCAAGGTCTTGAAGATGTTGCAGTAGGGACATGGAAGGAAAGAGGCAGCTGACCCCCACCAGGAGATCAGCATAGGCCATTGTCTGGATGAAAGCACTGGTCGTGTGCTGGTTTAATAAAGGTGCACAGTGAAACACAAAGATCACCACCAAATTTCCACAGATGATTAGCACAGTGAGAAGGAGTATAATGGACACTTCCAGGAGGCAGGTGTTAAAGACATAAGAATACCCAGTCTCCAGCAGGCAAAAGGGAGCAGAGAGGTTTGACACAGCCGCAGAGCTCTGATTTAGAGGGTGAAGAGAGGAATTCATTGTCTTGAGCAGAAAAAAATACTTAAATCATCAATTGGCCATATACATTTCTGGAAATAATTCTTGGTGAGTTTTCATTTGAGTCAAAATCCTCCATTCTGCTGGTTGCATTAAACCTGTCTCCATATAAACACATCCAGAACAAGGATTGATTTCAAAAGGAAGTGAAAAAATATCCATGGTTTTATCATTCAGTTTTCCTTAAGCGTAGTGTCTTTCCCAATTTTCTCCAGCTGTTGTTTCAGCCAGTTATAGTCCGGTCCTTCCCAAGTGTATTAAGGCATATTGACATGAAGAGGCTGAAGTCCATGTACAACAAGACTGATTTCAAAGCACGCGGAAACTCAAACGCAATCTCAGTTCAGTTGTTGTCTGTTAAGCTGAAGAAATGTCTGAAGTAAATGAGAAAGGCAGGCATGCTTGTGCTGCAAGTCCCCCTGTACACTATTCTGGTGTAAGTCTCACTGCCTCTCTCTTTCTGTCTCCCTGGCGAATGAAAGAGTGGAAACTAGCCCTGCCTCTTTTTTGGTCTTTGACCAGTCATTGGGAACAGAGGCACACCTTCTCATTTCATTTTGTTTTCCATAGGCACACTAGATAGAAACTCCCAGTTTCAGCAGAGAAAGGGCTTTTGTTTTTATGTCAATTGAAATTGATAATAAAAATATTAATAAATAAGCATAGGGTAATAATATGGATTTTTATGCAGGATCAAGAGAAAGGGCAAAACAAGACAAGATTTGTAGGTAACTATTTTTAAATAGCTAAAGTTAAAAGCGAAATAGTTAAAAAGTCATTGTGAGCTTGAGTTGGAGTGAGCCAGTACATTCATGTGAGCAAAACCTGAATAATTAAATCTGTGTCAATGTGGCAAGTACTCAGGCCATTATGCTGTTAGATGTCATAGGTACATGACTAAAAGGTCACACCTCCAAGATCTGATTTTGAAGATACTGGCAGTGGAAAGATCTCATGATGAGGTTTAATTTGACAAATTTGACAAACACAAGTTTTCGAGCACCCAATTATGAGCAGCGCTAAGAAAGAGAAAAGTTTAAAAAAATAAAAACCAAAGCAAAATATGCTTACTTGGTTTAACAGAATTAAAATCAGAAGAAAATATCCTCCTTATGGCATTGTGGTCATCATTGTTGTTATGCATCACATGATCCAAACACTGAACTGCTTTTCATGCACCATCTCTGCTCATCACACAAGGAACAAGAAATAAGATTCTAGTATGAAAAAGAGAAAAAGAAATGGAATATGGGAACATGGAGCAGAGAATCAGTTTTCCATCGCCAATGCCACATGATACGGATTAGAATTTAGAGAAATGTAAATTCTAAACAATGTGTGTCACATTTTTGCAGTACTCTCTTTGGACTAAATTGTTCTAATAAAGCTTTATGTATATAGTTTATGCATATTTAGGCAGCTTTAGGCAGCTGGTTGGGCCAAACAAAATATTAGTTAAAAAGTGCAAATATCGGCCAACTGACATATTATCTGATTTGATGAACAAATATTTCTTTCTCTAATATGGAGCAAGTCAAAAGAATGGTATTTATCTTTAGTAAAATAAGATTCATAAAAATAAACTTTGAAAATAATAAAAAGGGAACAAAGTGTTAAAGTTAAGTTAAAAAATGCTGTTTGAAGAATTAAAAAACAAATAACCCCGTGTGTGCAACATAGCATAATTATAATACAGACTGCATGTGTTCTGTGTTCTATTCCCGCCAGTGTCATAATTAAATTGCCACAGAACTCATGTGTTCAAATGTGGGTAAGAAGTTCAACTGCCTAATGAGTTTATTTTGCGATTGGCTGACAGTTAATTAGTCATGTTTCTAAGCTCATATCAGTACTTGGCAGCAGATACGCATGCACGAGAACTGTAGTCCTGCTTCTGTCAAAGGCTTTCAGTCAAAATGGATGGATGGGCATAAATGAATGTCCTCACTGGGACAGCACATTTCTCCACAAAGAGAGGCCACAAATGCAACAAACGCAAAGAATGGGGGCCTGGGAATGGCATGTCCACATGTCAAAAAGCACATGAGATGATGGGATTCAATTATCAATTAGTACAAAAGAAAAACATACATGTCCTAACGAGCGAGACCACGTGTTTGGTGGGCTTCACCGCCCAGAAAAAATAGAATCCAACTGAATTGATCCGAAGTGCCGCAGCACCTCCGCTGGCACCACCGGACTGCACGGCCCGCGGTCTGGGCTCCTATCTCTACTTGTAATTATACAGAATACTTGCAGCCACCGGACCGGAGCTGCACCGCATGCAGTCTGAGCCTGAGGTGACGCATTCAAGTTCAAACTGAATAAATATGCAAAACACAAAGCCTTCACTAAAATGTGCAAAAAACAAGAGAAAAAGCAGAAAATTAATTTAATTATTCATGATACTTTGGGCTCAGATTGGATGTAGTGCAGCTGAGCTCCGGTGGCCACAAGTATTCCTTAGAAATTCAAAGTAACGAGAGGAGCTCAGACTTGCAGTCCGATGGTGCCGGCAGGTGCTGTGGCACTCTGAATTACTCAGAATTAATTACAATGGGAATATGGGCTGACTGCCCTTTATGAATGAACAGTTACATGTGGTCTCATGCGTGCAGCTTCAAAGGTGGTAGCCACAACAGCACAGCAGAGCGTTGCTCTTTTGGTGTGTGCCATATCACAACAAAACTACTCCGACACAAGAGTCACAACTGAACCAAGTTCAGTCTATGCAAGGCAATTATAGGATAGAGGAGGTATCTGAAGCAAGTTTATAGTGCTGTATGTGCCGGACCGGTCATGTAAAAGCAGTGGTGATCTTTAATCAGAAACATTTAAACAAAAGTATTTCATATCAATTATAGTAGCACGGTGCTGTAACACTCTTGTATAATCATAGCCAGATCAATGGAGATGCCGCATCACAAGGATGGAGCACATGAGAGATTAAAATTACTAAAGGTAGCCCAGAGGGCAAAACAAAGGCCATACTTTAAAAATACACAACAATCATTGCTGAGATTGCCAACAAGAGCTGTACTGTGCATGAGTAAATAAAGGAAAAGTGAAATATGTCTTACCTTTGTAATAAGAGTACGATATTCTTCAACTAAGTGATCGTTGTTATGGCAACCTGCTAGGAGCTGCCAAACTTCCCCTCGAAGAGCTTCAGGGATGCCATTACGCACCAAGGCAGGTAGCTGTCTGGGACGCACTGACAAATTCAGATGCCTTAAATAAAGTAGAAAGGGAACATTAAACAAAGTAACTGTAATGCATTTAAGGCTTTATAACTTTTTTTTTTTTAAGTAGAGCCTATCATTAAATTCCAAGAGAGAAGAGAGAAAAACATAGTGGCCCCATGAACCCACCTACAACCCCATGACTCAAAAGGACACAACAGTTACTATTTTCAGGTTAATTGCAATATACTATATGACATTTTCTACACATCTAGTGAGGTGAAAAAGAGCACAGTATATTTAAGAAACAGCATGTCATGTAAATGATGTCAAAAGCGGACCATTTTTGCATACCTGATTAAAGTAAAAACTAAAAGCTCTGTGTTCTCGCAAACACACCCAGATTAAAAGGACAAATAGATTTTCATAGCAACCGTACCACTTGGATAGCAGATCTCCCCAAGTTTCCAGGATCTTCTCTGCACACTCCTTTGAAACATCTCCAGAGCCACTCAGTAATGGTTCATCATTATCTGATAAAAAACGACAAGTTAGCACATGAAAAAAGTTCATTCCCATCTTCAACATTTTTACTGTTCCATTAATATCAATCAATTTATTTAAACTATTAACTGTTTTTTATACAATATGTCTAAAAACTCTAACCAGAATATACAGTAAACAACAAGTTTATCCAAACCAATGAAAAAGTTACCTTCCTCCTCATCATCCTCAGGAGGTGAGGGTACCATGTTTCCTGGTCCACTAAGCTGGATGCCAGGACTTGCTGTGGTCTTCCGCCTCTCTCTCTCAGTTTCACTTTCCAAACTGACTACCTCGTATAATGTGTCTGATGAGGGACTTTTACGTTCCTTTCGCTCCATCTGAAAGGAATAGAAGTGTTAAATTCTCACAGCACAGAACAACAGGTTTCACATATCTGGCTTCCCACACCTGTCGCAGTTTAAGGTAGAATGTTTCAGTGTAACTACGCTTGCTGAATGGCCAGAAGAGCCTGTCATTTGGAGAGCATACTCTGACACGTGTCTCCAGCAAAAACCTTACTGGTTCTTCTACCTCTGTTATCACCAGGTCCACTGCGGTTGTCATATACATGAATTTATCTGTGAAGGAAAAAAAAATCATTTGTCGCACATTCCAAATGATATGCACCAAAGCGAGGACAAATCATATATGTAGCAGTCACCTTTAGGAGTTTCCTCATTCACAGGCTGAAACTGAGGCGTGTTGGGGTTCCAACTTCCTGTGATGATGTAAGATTTCCCATCCGAGCTTTTACCCATTGATTCCTAAAGAACAAAAGTTACAACTGAAATAATAAATGGAAGGCACCAAAGATTAAAAAAAAACAAAAAACAAAAAAAAACGGGTTTATGCAGGCTTAAACAAACAAAATTTAGTGCTTTTTAATGCCTTTTTAATGCTTAAACTGTTTATGCTTTAACTTTTGATCGATGGTCCATCAAATGCTTTTCTCCATAGAGATGTTATTACTTTGTCTGGAATGTTTCACAGTATGGTATTAAAGCTTTCCATCTTCATGGAGACCAAACCAGACCAAGTTACAGGCTAGATCAGTGGAGAGGGAACCCCATTCACAGTCAGTTTTTTGAGGTATTATTGAGCTACAACCAACTGTAATTTAATAAATGTAAGTTAGAGCTGTTTATTGTCATACTGTGGAACATTCCAGGCAGAGCAATGACATATCCATAGAAACAAGCAGGTCAGACACTCTCCATCAGAAAACTTGCACAGTGCACCTTTAAGCTTTCATCTTTTTTCTTTCATCTGTTTTCATCATAATGACAAGAACATACAGATATTCATTATAATGCAAAACATTTATAAAGCGTATTTACTGTAATATAATTGAGTGTTTTGAACCTAATTCCACCAAATATCTTCTGTATTAGGATAAGTGCATTTATTGAAAGTGTTTCCAGCCAAAATTACTGCCCCAGACTCACTATAATGTTGCTGGGAGATGCACAAGAGTCAAAT